ATTAGCAAAATTATTCTGCATTTAAATAAAGGTTTTGTAAACTCAGACGTTGAACACACAAGCTTGGTATCACTTGAACAAAAGCCTTCCATTTGTCTGAAAAATCTTTGGAACCAGAAAACACACACAAAAAAATTTAAAACAAATTTGAGAACCAAAAAATCAATGGAATAACTTCCAGACCACTAAGCACTACACAAGTGCTACTCAGATCTTGACATGAATCCTGAAAAACATTAGGAAGAATAGCAGCACTACGGGATCTTGGTGAAATCTCTTTGTTGATGGATGCCTACTACTGCTGCTGCCGATAGATATTTCTGTAGATTTGAAAGATCATGTCATTAATGTCTTGCAGGGCACATCTTCATGTGAAATTAATGAGATGCAATAAACTCGCAAGCAGTTTGCGCCAGAGTTGACTGCACCTGGGCACAGCGTTTACATGTGCGCCTGGGACTGCAGCATGTTGAGCCAAGGCAGTGCAACCCCAGCTGGCAGCAGGCCCAGGGGGGAAAACAGGGGTGGAGCGGGGTGGCCTGCTAGCCCAAAGATGCTCCACCCAGGCTCAACATATTGCAGAGGGGCTGGCTAGGGCACAAGGGTGCTACAGCGCGGGGCTAGCCAGCAGGCAGCCACCACACTAGCATCCTCATGCCCCAGCCAGCCCCATCACTATCTACACACGATTTCACTGCACGTTAACTACTCCACCGTAGGATGGGCTTTTGGTTGTAGCCAAGTTGGTCTAAGGACGTAAGCAGGCAAGAACTTTTTTCCAACTGCTCAGTTGGTCTAATAAGAGATATTACAACCATGGTGTGATAGTACCTGTGTCAGGCAGTATTATCCTAAAATAGATGTAACTGTTTTACCGTGGCTCAATTGGTGCTGCATGTATAGACGGTGATGCTTTACTTCGGAGTTAATTAGTCAGCTCTACAGTAAAGTGGCCTCATGTAGCTGTACCCACAGTAACTCTTCAGAGCATCTTCTCATAAATCTGTAGGATCTCTCATAGTATACGAGCTGACAAAGTATTTCTTGAAATCCACGCTACACCAATCAGAACACGCACACCAGGATTTCTTTGCTATACATGTTGCACTTAATGCCACATTATATTACCCTCACTTGGTACACCTTACTCAATTTTCAAGTGAATGACATTGAGGATTAACAATCCACAGAGGAACAGTACTGACAAGTAGAGATTACGTGTACATTGCTTACAGGCAACAGGGGTAATTGAAGTCCTTTGAAAAATCAACATGATAGAAATTAAATGGCAAAAAAATAGTCAATGCTTTTTAAGACTGTTCCTTCACGAAGTTATAAAATTCAAAAAGTACAAAGAGGAGTCCTATGACTCAATGAAAAAGCATGTGCACTTTGCTCCTCTTCCTCACTCCCTAGCAGTTTATGAGACAGCACACTTAACTCTGTAGCTTAAAGTATTGTTTAGAATGGAGGGAGAAAAGAAAGGAAGCAGTATAGTGAATTTAACGCCACTGAAAAGGTACATTTCTAGGCCAAAAAAGGATTTATGAGCACAATTCAATCAGCAACCACAGTGAAATAGCACAGCCTAAGTCCTGGCATGGGTTTTATATTTTAGATTCTTTTGCCTTTTAGTTTACTTGTTCTTAATTTCTGTAACACGAAAAGCCACTCTGGAATATCCCTCTGGGGGTGGCTCAAAGGCCCAAATTCCCCCAACTCCATGAAATATTACTGATACTCGTTTCTTACAAAGTATATTGAAAAAAATAAAGCAAGCATGGAAATGGTGCCTTAAAAAGGTAACTGGCACCACACTAAATAGTGATGGCTATGTGTTTGTGGCAGGAGATGTAACAGGTACCTTAAGCACACCATACAGTTCAATAACCTTACAATGTACAAAAACTTCTATAATGAGTAAGAAAGTAATAGCTCTGGACACGTCACACTTCCAAAAAATAGGAACTGCAACATTAAAATGCTTTAAGAAATGAGAAAGATGGCAAAATTCCCAAAGCTTACAGTGGTCATGCATCATTGTAAGCAACAAAAAGCAGACTTTGTACAGTCTTCAAGTACGTGAATTTATTTTCAAATGATAAAACACTAAAAATTCCTAAAGGCTTAAATTTTGATGACCAAGAGGCACAGTTATTACTGCAGATTAATGGCTACACCTTAATATCTAATGTAATAAAACGTGGGTGCACTTAACATAGACAACCTTTCCAGTTTATTATACCAACTTGTAGCTATCAAACCACAATCACTTTTACAAGTACCCAGAACCTTAAAGAGCGCTCCCAGCAAGAATCAGAGCAAAAAGCGTTTGCTGAGCCAAAAGTTACTAGTGATTATTAATTGCAGGGGCAGTGTGTAAGTTACTACTTTTGCACAAAGATTAGTCTATAATAAAGCTAAAGCTTTACTTAGAAATTAAACAGACTATGTTATTAGTAAACAGCAAAAGAGGTTAGAGTTCTAATACCCAACAGCGAGCAACAATTTTTAATGACATTTTTGCAATACTTTGAAACAAAACACATGCATTAACCAGTCTCGCATATCAGTAGTCAATTATTCTAGAAATAGTTATTTATCCAGACATCAAGTATTTATTATTCTGACTCTGCATGAGTTGATAAATCTGCTAAGAAAACAGGAGGAAGCAACAGATCAAAAGAGAAGAGTATATCAAAAATAATGCTTTCCTCCAAAACAACATTATGGTAGAATAAGATAAAAGGGAAAAAAAATCAAAGCCCTCAAAAAATTCTCCATCAGATAACATTTTATGAACAGTCAAATTTTGCACCGACAATCAAATATGTACAATAAACTTTCTAATGTACATTTTGAATTCTATGCATTTCTATGCAACCTCATTATCCACACAGTGAATATTTTTTCTAAATAGAAGTAAAGAAATTACACAAAAAACTTAAAAGCTACATCTGTTCTATGAATAAGTATTTCATAGTTTACATACGTCTCCTGCTCTCCTCAAATTTTGTATTTAAACAACAATTTAAATACTTAAAAAAACAAAATCTAAAAGAAACGTAATTCTACTATACCTCTTTTTAACTTACAGTAAATAACGTAACTTGAGTTCACCTGAACTCCCTCGGAAAATAGATATATCAGCTTGCACAGAATACAATAAAGATTACTTTGCTTCAGATACAAATGCATTTGCAAATGTTTTGCACTTTCACCTATTACTAATGACTAATCCTTGTCTGTATACAGTATGGCTTCCATTTAAAAATTATTAATATTCTGCTAAAATAATGGGAAAAAAAATAAAGGGAGAAGTGTAATAAAATGCTGAACTCTTCCTCCTCCGTTTTATTCAGAGTATTGGTATGTTATGGACTGAGGGAATCCTCCAAATTGAATAATTCTCAGCTTTAGTGACATCACTGCATCAACACTTTTTCTTCCAAAGTAAACAAAAATTAAGTAATATAATGTCCATTCAATTATATTTTTTTTAACTGAGTAATGGCTTACCTTGGGAGACTTGCTCATCTTGTCTGAGCAAATAATTACAAATGCTAAAACTTTATTGCTTAGTCACAATGCAAAACTTAAGAGAAAATAAAAACAAGTCATAAAACTGAAGCGAAACTTTTTGTTTCCTTCTTAGAAAGGAAAACTTCACTTATTCTACAAACCAATATGTTAAAGCAACGAAACAGACCTGGATTTTCCTAAAACTTAGAAATCATCTTCCTTTCATAATTATTTCTGATTGCAAATGGTAGCAAGGGCAGAAAATCAGCATACTGAATACCAAGCACTAAGGTTAAAAATGCCTTGTTGTTGACTCAAACAGGCACACAGAGAATATTTAAAAATGTAACTTAATTCCAGTGTTAATTGCAATGAAAGCTATTTTGTGCCAGAATTAGTAGAATGATTTTTACAGTGAGGGTCAAAATAGGTTGAAGTGAAGATGTTTTGAACAAACAGCAAAAGATTTTTTTTGTTTTGCTTTGAAAGAAACGGCTAATAAAAAGGTCTCCAAACTTACTGATTTTTTGTTTTCCTTTTTTTCTTTTACGGTAGCTTTATTCAGTAGGGAGTGGCAAGTTGCCTACAGAACAGAGATGAGCACAAACAAGTCACAGTACCAACTACATACAGCAACAAAAAAAACAATGTTGACTTGTACATAAATTACACGATAAAATGTAACAAACATAACCAACAGAAAATGAAATATATAAACTAAAAGTTTGATGATGGGGTTTTTATATCACAGCCTTATTTTACTACATCTTATTCACAAAGCACTAAATACAAAGCAAGCAAATGTTGGGTTTCAATCATTTCTACTATTTCTGGCTAGATTAAAAGTCAAACCACTGTAATTTGCTCGTGATATGCAATATCAGGCATAAATTAGCACAGTCAGCTTTCAAAACACATTTCACCATTCCCAGACAAAAATAATCTTTTGAATATTAGTATATTTCAAAGGTTTAACTTTTGAAAGATATGCATAATTTTTTAAAAATAAATTTAGTGGTTGAAATCTCCCTGTGTTTCTCTGTGTGTCCTTCAATCTTGTTCAATGTATGATTCGTATTTATAATGCTTTTCCTCTTAATTAAAAATATAATTATCATCCAGTGATGTGTCAAACATTTGCATTATATGGCAGAAAAGATGTTTTTGGATTTCAAATTCAAACACTTCGACTTGACTACATCTATTTTGGAATTCACCCAGGGCAAAGGGCCAGGCCAAACCTATTCAATACTTGAGCCCTGACATCACAACAGGATTAGGTGGGAATTAAAAGGTCCATTGGACTTTTGGACTTTTCCTTCTGCATTGAAATGAATTTTGCTGATGAAGGTCTATACCATCTCCTCCACACTAGCTGTAAAAAAGGATCTTGAATAAAGCAAGAGTAACCATGAAGAAAAATTTACAGTGAGGCAATACTCAGTAAACACCTTGTGTTACACTAGTCATTGGAATTATGTTATAAGGAAGCTCAAAATATACTAAAACGCTGGAGAGTGAAATGCCAGCCATAAGCCAGATAAACACTAAAGTCTGTATTATGTGTATACAACAGAGAAAAACAGAAGAATGGCTTTACATCTCCACTCCTCCTCATACTTTTTATGCTCTGCAGCACTTTTAAAGTTGAGTCAAAAAGTTGTCTACTAACACAGCTAAATTTGTTATAAGAGATGATTCACTGCTTCAAAAAACTAACAGCTTAGATTTTTATTTTATACACTAACAAAAAAAAATTATAATGCCAGCCTCAGGAGTAGATATGGACATAAAACGTGAGAAAGCTAACAAATTTCTATGGCCAATCAAATTTCTATTCTAACTTGCTTGTAAAAATCCTGGGTGGTATAGAGGTACACACTATATAGCTTTATTTTTATAAGTATGTTGTTAAAGAAATGACAGCTGATTTATTTCAAGCTGAGTCAGGTCTTGGGGAAGCTCTTCAAAAAGTTCTCTAGCATTTGAATATAAGGAATGAATGATAACATTATTTCTGATGAGCACACCATTTGATACGAGGAGGAGAAAGTGGCAGGTATTAGAAAGCTAAAGGTTATTAACAAGTAAGCTGTACATACTCAACCTGTTCAACCGCACCAGTTCAAATACAACATTGCTCGAGTGCTAGAGGAACAGTGAACTTTTCTTTATTCGGATTTTGTTCCCCCTCATTTGCGTTTATTTGTGAAAACCTAGTGAAAGCCTTTTTTCCAAAAGCAAACAACCTTTGTAGCATAAGTGACTTTAAAAGGTGAGAGGTAAAAATGGTAACAATAGATAAAGAGGATAAAGATAAAAACAGCCCCCCATAAAACATGCATTTAGAACAGGGGTGGGCAAAATGGCAGATCTGGCTACCAGCTAGATGATTTCCCAGCAGCCTCTGCCCATGCAGGAGACCCCGTGGAGAGCCCAGGACCGTAGAGGCACGATAGTGTGGGATCGCAGAACTGGGGCTCTGCCTCGGCTTGGCCTGGCCCCATGCTGTTGCACCCCTGCGCTTCCTGAGTTTGCATGGAGACTGGCCAAGAGACGCACAGCTCCAGGGCTGGGATCTTGTAGTGGTGATGGCCCAGGGAAAGGCCAGGGGCAGAGCCGTGAGCCACTGCCTGCATGCCCCTGCCAGCCGAACCCTTGCCCATGGCAGGGGTGTGCGGTCAGCAGATGACAGCTCTGCCCTGGTCCCACCCCATGCCATCACTCCCACCTGTCCATCTTGCTCCCTGCTGCAGCCCCATCTCAGTCATCTGGCTGCGCACCCTGCTTATGCAGGTCCTACCTCTAGTGGTAGGTGCAGGAAGCATGGGCTGGGGTGCCCGGGCAGCAGGGCTGAGTCCAGCGGCAGAAGCCAGGAGCTGCCACTGCAGGGGTTGCTAGAAAATGGAGTGTGCCGATAGCTGGACTTTTCCCACCCCTGATCAAGAATGAACTAGGTGATGCTAAAAGCAAACCCATCCTGCCTGTCCCAAGCGATGTAGGATGCAACTTTTTATAATCTATCGGAGAAAGTGAAGAACTGGACCACTTCAAATACCGGCATAACATGATTTCACACAAGTATAAAAACCATCCTTGCTCTCAAGGTTTTGTATGACAAACTCCCTTCCGGAATTAAAAATAGTCTGATCCTTTCAACAGCCACAAAAGACACTGTATTGTTTTTAGAAGACTAACATTTTGGAAGCCGAGGAAACTGTATTTATAAAAAGAAGTATTCGATGAATAGAAAATAGCAATGCCATAGGTCTGGACTATGCCACACAAGTAAATAATTATTACTCAAAATTAGCTTTAAAAAATGCTCCAGAAGACCGGAATACTTTCTATGGAAAAATAACTTATGCCACTTCCAGGCAAAGAAACCTGGAAAACTCTTCTTTCAGAATGTGCTTGATGAGAGAGGACACGATACATGGAGAAAAGAGTAAAGCCTGAATGCCACACTTGTGCCACTCATCCAACTTAAATCTAATGATGAGCTACCAAGTCAGAATCTAAAAAAAATAAATTAAAAAAAAGCTCCTATCCTCCAAAGATGCCACTGAAGTCGGAACAAATTTTGCCCTCTACTAGTAAGCCTTGTGACATTTTCTATTTCAATCAGCCTCGCTATTAAGCAACCTGAAGCACAATATTAGCTTAGTTTACTTGTAGCCCAGTAGCGGTATTTCTTCAGAACTAACCTGACTAATAGGCTTTTCCTTGAAGAGGAAAACAGGTACATCTTACATCAAGAACAACTCATGGATTACTCCTCATTAGTATACGTGAAAAAAAATATTATCTGTTCTGTAGCACAGAGGCAACTATTCATATGCTTGCTCAATAAATGAACATGCTTTTTAGTAGCTATTTGATTCACATGTGTATGAAGCTACTTAAATGCAGCTTATAAAGTCTGAGGGGCAATTGTACTACTACTTAGAGCCAACAATCCACTAGTCAAACAGATCTTATATCAAGGCAATCACATTGGGGTAAAAAGAAGCGTTTGCCGTGTCTATTAAATGTAAAACATTATGGCCTCTATCGTCCTCCACCCCCTACAGGCTTCCCCCCTGTGCTGCCTCACTCTCAAAGGCCCCACATTAAAACCTGGTGGCAAGAACGGCTGCACTCACTCTTCCTGCTAGAGTGAGTCCATGCAATGTCTTCAGTTTCCGAGCAGAGGCACTACAGCAATGCAAGATGATTCCTGCCCTATTAGATCTGGGAGCCCAAGAGCAAATTCTGGCTGCTTGCATAGCAAAAAGCTGTCACAACCTGACTGCCAGGCCAGCCCCTTGAAACCCATTCACTTGGCTGAGATCACATATGCTGAGGTTCAGCTTTGAGAAATACCTACATAGCTGTGCCATAAACCTCTGCAAAAAACTGAAAAAAACCAAAGCCAAAAAGCCAGAATTCCTGGCCCAGGCTCTAGTACAATACTTTTAAACCTGAAAAATCTGATCTTCATATTTGTTTTAACAAGAACAGAAGTCAGGCCGTGAAGATTTATCCCTCAACTGCAGTCATACCTGGTACAGACAGTGGCACACACTGCGAAGCTGCGGTGGAAACTCTGAGGAGGAATTAATGATTGCATGAAAGAATTTTTCAGTCATTTGCAGCAGACTCCGCTGGTTGTCATCAAGGCTTTCCGTTGGCTCCAACCTGCAAACGACCCACAAATATAACAAGCTTTAAAGTTGTTAACCTTCAAAAGCATACAGGTTGCTTCCACCTATATTCAATCACAGCCACACTAGCAAGGCTGTTGAAATGGAAAAAACCTATTTTGCCAATGTTTCCATGAGTAGTTTTATAACATGAAAAAATATGCTCTATGGATATGAGGTCACATTACAACTTAATACAAAAAAGCCTTAATTAATGGGCTTCTTGTACATCATGCCCTTTAGAGTCACTTTGGGGTATTATTACCTCGTACAGGAAAGGCAGTCCCACAATCATATAACTAAGCTGAGAACTCCTTCAGGAAGGCAGTCTCAAAAGGTGCACACACAAGCTTGGCCAGGGTTTCCCTGAAAATCTAAGCAGTTTTTCAGGTAGCTGCAGATGGCTGCTTCATGGGTGTAGGAAGGCTCTTTATAAATAGCTGCTCATTTATCACCTCTCAAAGTAAAAAAAAAAAAAAGGCGTGGGCATAAGTGATGAAGAGGAAGCCTATCTTTTGAGATGCAATTAGCTAGTGTAAAATAGCAATATGAGGGATGTTATAGAACAGACACAGAAGTCAGAGGAGGAGGAAACCACATAAAAAATTTAAATATTTTGGATAAATACTGTGAAGATACAGCAAAAATCGAGATAAAGCATACCCATGTAAAAGGCAAAAAAGCACACATGCTCCATCTTGCTGACAGGAATGGTTCTGTAGCCTAGAGGAGGTATTTTAGAGTTCGGCGGGAGAGTGACAAATTTAGGGCCAGAAACTTCCCAGTTCTTACTGAAATATGCAGTGGCAGGAGAGAAAAACAAATGAGCAAGGCTTTTCTATCATCCTTGCTCTCTTCTAGCCTGTGTGTGTATGTGCAGAAGAACTCAGGCCACAGAGGTTCCTACACAGAAGAGCTCTGTCCAGTTCTCCATGTCTATAGGATTATTTTAGGTGTGCCTGCGTAAAACAGGGGGAGGGGAACCAAACAGAGCTGTGAAAAGGGGGAAAGATAGCAAATATGCAGAAAGCAACCTTGTGCCATTAGTACAAACAGGAGACAGTTTTGCAGTTAATTAAGAACACTTGTCATATCTCAAACCTTGTAGGATCCACCTCAAAGCTGACATGTTGCCATTCCGGGGACATGATCACAGTTCTTAATAAAGGTTCCAACAGCTTCTGCAGATATGTTGCACCATAAACCTATCAATAAAGTAAATCAGAATGGGTAACCAGGTTAGTGTAACTCGAGCCATAACGATATTTTGCAATGCTAAAAGACACGATGATTAATATACCAACTGCATTTTTTTCCTGCATCTAAATATCAGGACCCTAAAGTACTTTTACAAAGAACGAATCTTCGAAAATAAAGCTCTGGAACTGCGTAGTTCTCAAAGCTGGAATGCATTATGCATATGCAACACAGGCATCAGGGGTCACCTTCCTGCACACATGCTACCATTAGAAGAACCCTCTTTTATATTAGTGCTGTATTAAATATTTGGAAGGGCAGGGGGTTACAAAGTAGTGTAAAACAAATGAACAATTCCTTTCCTTTCTCTCATTTAAATGCTACAACTGGGTGTCTTCTGACAATATTACTCTTAAGGCAACATCTTCACTAACCCAAAAGATACTGACTACACACCAAAAAAGGTACAAACACAGAAGCAGTTAGGAGCAAAAGCATCTATATAGCTTGTATGTCAAACAGTTATTTTCTTAATAGTTACATGACAAAGAGTAAGAGGAAATATGTACTTGAATAAGTTAAGGACACAGATGATGACAAAGCTGTTTAAAGAAGACAGCTAATAAAACAGTGATCAGAATTCTTTAGTTTTTATCTTTGACTTAAAGTGGTGAAGACTGACTTTAAATTGATTAGTGAAGGGCACATGGCAGAACCATGCAAGGTTTTTATTTCTACTTCACAAGGCTGTTTGTGGAACATAACTGTGATACATTTCTGAAAGTTTGATTCATTTCCATAAACTATTTCCCCCTCGTAGTAAATGAAAGCATAAATCGTCAAATTCTGTTCATATGCAACATAACTGAATGAGACTCTTGTTTACAGTGTATCCTTATAAATACCCTTATCTCAACCTGCCTAGTGCTTAAAAATAATTCAACAACTGTATCGACTATAGATGGACTTTCAAAAAAAAAAAAAAAAAAAATTGCCCAAATTTATATAGACAAGTTTTCACCCACACAGGTTAACGTAACACATCGGCAGTTTTGTCTTTCTGCATGAATATATTTTTTCATGTTATTCTTTAAATAAAACAGAAATCTAAACACCAGGTAACGTACCTTAAAACAGAAAGTCATTATTTTACTGGCCAAACTATTTCCTCTGAAGAGAGTCTGCATGGAATCTGCCAGTTCAACTTCCTTAGAAAACATGTTCCAGAGCAGCTGGTACAGCAAGTGCCGGGAATCAAAAAGAGTGACCAGAACACGAGCTAGTTCATCCTTAAAGACAGTAATGAAGATGTCAATCTATGTGCGAGAGCAGAGAGGGGCTAAACCATGAAAAGCTACCAAACAGCATGTGCTAATACAAGCACTTTGCTGTGAAGTCATGGAAAACCCTAAATTAAAGAATGTATGCCCCCCACCTCTGTTTCTCGCTCCATATTTCACACTCAAATCATGCCAAATTATTAGGGTAGCTGAGAAGGCCCAGAGATTCAAACAGTGTATAAACACAAAGCCCAGGTAAAAAGCACATGGGTTACAAAAACCCCAGGCCTGAAGAAGAATTTTATTATTATATGAATGCACTCTCAGTCACTTTTCCACCCACTAGTCAAAAACCTACCATCATGCTTTAGTTTCAAATGAAGACCCCAACCAATCAAACTCAATTTACTATTGGAGAAAAAAATTGAGAAAAGGCCATGTACTAATAAAGATAGGCATAACTGGATAACCAGATCTGCCAGTTTATATCTAACTGTTACACTGGCAGAGCACTAAGGTCACCATTGAGTCTTATGTAGTGATTTTTTGTGGGAGTTACAGAGGTTAAACCCGAAGCATGAAAGAGCTTACCCACTGTGAACAAGGCACCACATTGGCCAAAGCCATAGCAATAGGTAGCTCTCCTTGGTCACCCATCATTGTAACCAATTCCACCAATCTCTCAAATCGATCTGCTAGTACCGTTTCTGCTAGTGTATCAAATTCTGTACCCTGTTGTAGGATTTTGGTGAGGACTTCCATGAACGTAGCTCTTGTTTGGAGATCTTTGTGATAACCTAAGCCTAACAACATAACAAAAAAGTAAACTCTTAAATAAAGATGTGTATGACATTGTAATTAAAAGTTCACGCCTCATTATGTGTGCATTCATTCAGAGTTGGCTCTAGCAACTTTACCTATTGAGTGCATAAGGCCACTGTCCACATTAGCATTAAGTAAATTTGACATTGCAAGCACGGTACAGTGCCGCAGTGAAGCCAGTCTTCGAGACATGCCACGTTTCCTGCCACCTGTTTGCGCACTTTCATCTTCCACTTCACTACAATCATTGAGGAGGTTCATAAAGAGAGTGAAATATCTAAAATAAAAAACAACATTTATAAATTAACTCTTGCAAAATGAGAAAAATTTCCTTCCTATTAAAATCAATATACTATATTTGCCCTTAGCTGAAGTATAATTGAAATAGTTAAAAATTATTATTTACTTAAGAAACAACTGGGATTTTGCTTCCATTAACTCGACACCATCTCCCTCTTCGGGCTGTAGTGGAAGCCCAGCAAGAAGAGAAACCACTGCTTCCATGCTGGCCTGGTCCAAATCTCTGAATGTAAAATTAAGAAATCAAAATTTTAATTAAACAATATTAGTTCTTAGTCTTCCCCCTGCTACATGACAATCTTCTCTTCAAAGTAACATCAGTTCACTTTTTCTCATACATCTAACTGTAGCTAAAAAGTGTCCTTACCATACTGATTTTGTTTTAAACCTCCTTACACGAAAGAAATACCAACAGCTTCTTGCAGCATTATTAAATATCATCATCAAAACAAATGAGATCCGAGACACGTTAGTGCTTTTAGCAGTACAGTATTATCTGTTCTTACCTTGTCAGGCATTTTACATCTTCATCTGTTGCCTGATTGGACGTGCCCATAACCCAGTCTGTTAGATACTCCACCATTTTATTCCTGTAAGAAATATTAGAGCACAGAAAACTGATAGTAATCTGACAAAAGATTAATATGGTTGCGGGCATCATCTGAATGGTTAAATTTACCTTAAAAAAGCCTATGAACTGTCAACCTTAGATTAACTCAGTTTAGTAATGTCCTGGTACTGATTACATCTACAAACTGGCACCTGCATCCCACAGAACTCTGCATCGGCATAGTTCCAGGCTACCTGACCCTTGTGGCACAGATAATTCAATGCAGAAAAACCAACCAACCAAGCAAGTTACGTTAGTTAAAAAGGTGTAAAAGAATCATCCCATCCCATCTCTCATCCCATCCCATCTCTCCTCTTTCTCCGCACACAAGCATTGCCCCAAACAGTGCAAAATTGGCTCGTTTGTTTACAGAACATATTTATACTGGAATTGCTATAATCAAATATTCACCTGAATTTCATCTCCTGGCAAAATGAAAGATCATCTCTCCTTTCCATCATTACCTCCACTAATTGACAGAGTTTAGTTTTTATTTGAATCGCATGTACCAAGTTGCCAAGCACACGCACATATCTGTGAAAGTAAGCAAAGACTTAAAAAAGCTACATGCATCTGGGGAATCTCATCCTAACTGTCCATGCCAGAATACAGTAACTAAAATAGATAATGTATACAGGCAGTCCTCAGATTTAGGACACAACTGGTTCCTGAAAAGTATGTCTTAAGTCGAAACGTTGCAACTCGGAAGCAATTTTCTCATAAGAAACAATGTTATAAATGGGGGATTGGTTCCTGAACCAAGGCCTGATACCCTATTTTCACCAAAAATACCCCAGAATTTTGTACTCGACCAATTATAGACTACTAATATAGCTACATTAATGTATTTATATTGTAAATAGCAATCATATTGATTTGGAAGGACTTCTTTGAGGTGACTTTGCTGGAATTTTTGAAGGGCTCTTGGTTGGAGTGTTCTCAGGAGTCTTAGCTGCAAGTTTTTCTGGAGTCTCGTCTGCCTTCTTAAAGAAAGTGTCCAAGGAAGTTTGGACAGATGTTCTCCAGACAGATGAGCGACGCAGCGAACTTGCTCGCTGGCGTGGCGTTGCATTGGATCAAGCGTTGTAAGTCAAAACTGACATCATAAAGTTGAAACAGTGTCAATTTATAAACGCTGTAAGTGCGAAATGTTGCAACTCGAAATGCTGTAAGTCGAGGATTCCCTGTATTATTTTCTGTGCATTTTTTTTTTATTACAGGCAGAATTAGACTTGTATAACTAGTTATTAAATATTTGGGGCTGGATTTTCCACTCAGTGTATAGGGGTCCTTAAACCGGCTTGGGATGCCTAATGGAGATTTCAAATGATGCAGGAAAATTCTCCACTGAGATATATCCGACAGATGGGACTCTGAACTTTGAGCTGGACTCCAGTACTCACATCAGCATGAGGGGAGGCTTATGTCACAGGGTTTCCAAGGATCAGGGTGAATTGTGGAGTCCTTCACAACACTGTGCCCACTTATCCACTAGCAGATCATATAAATAAGATACATTCCCCAGTAGCTTTAACTTCTAGTGTAGCCAGGTGGTTGAGGATCAGCTTGCTGTACTGCTGCCACTCCCCTCTACAGACCACGGTTCAGGTAGAAGGACTAAGAAACCCATTGTCCAAGGAACTCACTTTACACAATGAGAACACATCTGGGATCTTACCTGACTAGATTTAGCATCATTGTCTCTATACTAGCTTGTCCCAGATGTTCTGAGCTCCCTTCAGTATGATTATCAAGTAGGTTCTTCATTATAGCGATGGTCTGCTCTACAAATTGTGTATTGGTCTCAGTTAACAAAACCTAGAGAGAGAAGACACGAAGCCATACATCTTCAAACATGTTGTACAAAAAATAACTAAGGGAAGTGGAAATAGTACTAATAAATATTTCTATTATTGTACAGTAGGTATCTTAACCGCTGCAGGTATTTATTCAGACTGACCTACTCAGAAGAATTCCTGTACTTACTATCGTTAAGGTATCAAGAAATTTAGTCAATAAAACTATAAACAGAATTTCCACAGAATAAGTAAATATTGGTTTGGCTCCTTGTATAAAAATTCTCAAACAACTGTCATTTTTAACACAATATGTTTTTTAATAAAATAAAAACGTGGTAACATCTCAACTCTTACCTGGCCTTGAGAGTCAAAAAATTTGCTGATGGTATTCTTCAGTTTGTTAAACAGCATTGGATAAAGTGCTGGACTCAATTCCAAACCCACTAGATCTTTTATATTAGTCCGTATCTGAAGTCCCACTTTCTCATGATTACAGACCATTAAGGACAATAATCGATCTAAGAATTTGCTAACAGGAGTCTCTGTATTTCCATCAGTGGACACCATAGATATCATGGAGCCTTTGCGCTCATTGACTGGGCCCATCGGTGGACTATAGGTTGCTAATCCTGCATTGCTACGATGCTGTAGGCAAACTCCCCCAAGAGCACATAAAAACCCTGTCATGTTGATCCATTCCTGAAGAGAATCTGTGTCAGAGAGGTCAATGGACCCTCCACCACTCACATGAGACATTCGTCTCTTCACAATTGTCTTGTGAAGACTTTCGGTAACCTGAAGAGGAAAAATAAAGAGAGCATGGTTCAAATGGGATCTCTATTTCAACACAGAGAGCAAATAACAACAAACAGACCATATTTTAACAGTCTTTCAGTAAGTAAATCCTAAAACGCAAGTTTACATCCGGGTCAGTAAAACAAAAAAACAACAAAAACCCAAATAAAAACAAAACACAAGAACCAAAACTATTCCAGTATCATGAGATTTTTGTGACTTGTAAGACAATTAATTACCTATCATACTGGAATCTGAATTTTACCAACAGGCCCTGCACTTACAGAAATCATAAAAATACCAAGCTGGAAGGATCTGAAAGGCTCATCTATTCTATCTCCTGGCTGAAGGCAGGACCAAGGATATCCAGACTATCCCGCACAGACCCTTATAGGAAGAACTTTATATAAAGACCTTTAAAAAACTCCAGTGAAAAGGAGCTCCCACAACCCCCTTCATTAACCTACTTCAGTGCTTTATTCACCTTTAAAGTGTTACACCATTTAACCCCAAATCTCTCTTGCCACAAACTAAGCCAACTACGTGTACTACCATCAGTGGACATAGAGAACAACTGGTCACCATCCTCCTTCTGACAACCGTTCAATATCAGAAGTCTTACATCCTCCTTAGGCCCCTCCTCTTCTATAGACTACCAAATTCTTCCCTTCGAGGTCACATTTTCTAAACCACTTACTACCATGCTGTTCTCCTCAGACTCCCTTCAATTTGTCTGCACCTTTGTTAAATGGTGGTAACCAAAACTGGAACCATTACTCCAGCTAATATATCTTTCCTGTTCCTAGAAGAAAGGAATAATTACATGCCATGATATGCATGCAACAATTCAGTTAATGCATCTCAGCATCACTGCTGGGCAATTCAGTGCGGTCTACTACAATCCCGTTTCTTTTCTAAGCTGCTACTGCCTAGCCAATTAATCCTCATTTTATACATGGGCATTTGAGTTTTCCTAGATGCTAGTAGAATTTTGCAGTCAATCTCAGTTTATTGATTACAAACCATTCCTCTACTTTGGCATGATCATTTTGAATTCTAATCCTGTCCTCCATGGAACCGCGACCCATCCTAGCTTCACATCACCCACAAATGTTAAAAGTACACTCCAAAATCCATCATCCAAGTCATTAAAGAAAATACTAAGTAGTAGCACCAGTAGCACCAGTAGTAGTAGTAGTAGTAGTAGGCATTTGTCTGTCTTGTTGCAGGTACAAAGTAGTTGGGGTAACACAATACTGGCAACTATGTTGTAAGTTCCCACAAACTTGGTGAGAGACGTGGCATTACTACGATGCAATTTTAGAATGTAAAAAGGTAGGGTGTAGAGATACACCAGCAACTGAAAAAAGAGTTCTCCAAAACTCTTAGGAAGTCAGTAGCATCATTTCCAAGAAAAAACTTCTGCCCCCCAATCTTTGGGATTCCACTTAAAATACCCTTATAGTTTATCACAAACTACTGACAAGCGTTTTGAGTATGCTTTCTAAACAGGGTGTTCACCCACTTCATAGTTATTATATCTACACCGAATTTCCTTAATTGACTTATGAGAACTTCAGGTGGGACTGTAGCACAACCTTTATTAAGATCAAGATAAAAAAGATCAACTGCTTCTCCCTACCCTTTGGTTAATTTTATCAAAGAAAAAAAATTAATTTGTTCAACATGATTTGTTCTCAACAAATCCATGGTGGCTATTTTATCTTCAAGGAACTTACAAATGGATTAATAATTAGTTCTCATCTCTCTGCAAGTAGTTAAAGGGCTTGTTTCACACAGCACCTTTCATAGCTGCATTGTTATTTTAACATGCCTTGATTTGATCATTTATGCCATTTTATCAACCAATGGCGGATTGCAAGGTAAGTGTCAGACATTTTTCCATTTAAAACAAAGATGACCGTTCTCTCCCAGCTACTGCAAACCGTTATCCTCTAAGGTCAGACATTCTATCAGTCATCTGAACCACAAGTTATATTAGCTTGTGACTCAACTCTGATACATTTCTTCCTCACAGTCTTTCATAGCAACTATTGAAGAAGCATGAATATTTTTCCTTTGTATAAGGGTTTGCTAAATTGAGAAGTCTATGAAACACCAATTTAGGCAGGGATCACTCTGCTCCCAGCCATACTTTGTCACTCAGGGAAGCGGGAAGAAATGAGGTGAACAACCAACATTACAAGGGTAAAGCAAACTGCAGTATGTCAATACAGATCCCATGGGAAAATCCATTAATTGTTGAATGACTTCAAGGTCATTCCAGTCTTTCATACAAGGGTTTGATTTTAAAAGTCGAACCAGATATTAAAAATGTATTTGGCTCATTAAGGTCAGTTTAAAACACTACTTTAAAAATAGTAGGTTCTTCCACATAACCAACTCTACAGAAGACTTCATATTCACCTGGCCATCTTCCATTTTAGTCTTTGGAAAATTGAGTATTAGTTTTGTAGCTTGTTCCCATTTCGTATGTGTATCTTCCCAAGCCTAAAACAGAATACATCAAGAATTTCAGATATTTACATTCTAGAGTACTTACAATGCCACCACTACTGACTGCTTTCAAACACAAGGTACCAATAAGGAACATTTTAATGGGTATGGGGGGGGAAAGGGACCCAAAAACCTTACTTCAGTATTGCCTGCAGTTGGATGTTCAATGCGTCTTAATAATGCCATGACTCTTTTCTGAAGAGCTGCTCTCCCTAAGTGAGAAAGATGTTTAAAATACCTTACATTAATTTTATTCATTTTTAAGGGATTAAAGTGTAATACACACACATACCCCTCAAATCGGCTAGAAACCCATTTACATAAAACACTCACAAATATATTCGCATTACAAACAAAGTACATTTTTAAAAACAGTTTTTCCTCCGCTTACCTATCAAGGACTTAAAATTCAATATACAGCCTTGTACAAGTCCTGACATCACTACCATGAAGAAATTGCAGGAGGAAGTCATCTTCAAATATTTGGTATTAAAATAAGGTTTGTATATTTTAACCCTACATGTGATCATATTTATGTAACCTGTGCACTGTTTTCAGGAATTCACATGATTCATAAGGATAAGGCATAAGCATTAAGCCATTTTAGTTATATCAGAACTTGTTTTAATAAATTCCAAAACATACTACTTTGAATTCAATAGTCAGGTGCTAAGTTTGCCAACGGACTTCACCAGTCTCCTCATTCTTACCTGTTGACATCATATTGCTAACAGATGCAAATTCCATGAAAGTGTTGTAGTTTGGCAAAAAATTATGGACCGAGACTTCATCTACTCCACACCTGATGTCCGCTTCCTCACAAAGGTGACGGAAACAGGACATTGCAACTAGGACTGCCTCTATGTCGGGGCTCCACAGAAACATATACAAAGCAACCTCCAATTTTGTCTGGGCTTGACGACAGATTGATGTTCCGCTGCATCCTGCTGTACTTTCCTTGGGGAACAGAAATGTACAGGTTTGGTAACACTGTTTACGTTTGGTAGCTTTGTCCAAGTCTGCTCTCGTTTAAATTCTCTAGCAAATTATCTGTATTCTCATAGCACCGAGGAGCCCAAAGCAATATCAAGGCCCTGTTGTATGGGGTTCATTAAGAGACAGTCTCTTCCACCAGCCTCATACAATTTAAATGGATAAACTCATCGGGGGGGGG